TGGGCTCCTGTGCGATGCCTCGATTTGCCTGTTTCCTAATTATGTTAATGAAGGATCGTGGCTAGCAGCGGAATCCAGGATGCGCATTTCATCCCATTTGGACTCGTCAGCTGGATGAACTTGCCTCCCAGTGAGTGATGTTGTTCCCACCGGATTCGGACTCGGGAGTGATCGCTTCAAACGCCAGGGCGTCATCCACTACATCACCGAGCCACGATAGCCACTTTTTGTTAACCACTCCAGTCCGAGTACGAATCCCTATGGGAACAACATCACTCATTGAGAAGCAGGTACATCCAGTTGACGAGTCCCGAATAGGACGAAGTGCGCATGCTGGATTTTACTGCTAGCCACTATCCATCAATAATAAGTAAATAAAAGGCAACATCACAGGATATGGTAGTTAGAGATTCTACGCTCCAACACTTGCTAGCCACATAGATGTGGTCATTCTGACCACCGGTAACCAATCTCATTGTTACTGTATTCAAAATATGACCACACTAATAACACCAAATGAATCATACTTTATTTTCTAAATAAATAAGTTATAGCAAAAGAATATGAAAATATTTCGTCCCCGGATTTCATTTATTTTTGTTATGTTGTCAAAATGTGAGTAAACATAGAAATACGATGCACCGTAGTTTTGCATCACTCACTTCATTGGTTACATTCTGAACCTGATCAAAAGATTTCAGTCAATCCTATACAATAAGAAACGGACCGCTACAATTGGTTGGCTAGTGGTTACAAACTGGTACACAAAATCTGGAAGGGCAATTGTGGACGGAATAGCCTACCAGAATAAATTCTCTGACTTCAGCACTAAGTGAAGCAGGTCCCAGTATTACCTTAGTTAACTCAAAAACTGAATTGAAAATGTGATAAACAGACTTTGACCAGTCCTGAGTATCAATGACTTAATAGCTTCTTATATTACTAATTGGTGGGTGGTTTGTATAAAGCAGCTTTTCTTATGCTGCTTTCATTGTACTTTACTTCATATAAGGGGTTATTTGCAGTGGTATCTGTTAGAATACTCATCTGAGATCATTTGCTTTCTCCAGTTTTGAATGTCACTAACTTCTCAGCATATTTTGAACATATTCAGCATAGAACTTCTAAGCTTTCTGCAGCTGGTTACTTGGTTAACAAATAATGTAATCATGTAACCAGCCTACTTAATGCTATCAAAAGTATCTTGGACTCTCAGAAATTTATTTATCTTACATGAATCCGTTCTCGATTAATAAATCTTGTTAATAAACCAGTGTACCATTTAAATTTCACTGAGACTCGAACTTCGTACCCATCCGCTTCAAACCCTAAGGCGCTATCCACTAGACCACTGAGGCAAGGTACAACTGATATTAGTCATTGCTAATTGTTTGCACACTTTTAATTCTCTGCTGTTTTACTGGGGCAAAGTGTTGGACTGGTTGGGTTTCAGTGAGAACAAAATCATTAACTGTTGTGCAGTATAGCCAAATAGGACGAGACACGCATTCCGGATTCCTGTGCTAGGCACAACCAAGTAAATTATCATAACAAAGTTAAGAGAGTTGAAGATTAAGCGCTTACTTAATTATATTCCTTTCTATGAATGATATACAATGAACATTTTGTTATTCAAAGATATTACTTTTCTTAGAACAGAGGTGAACAGTCTCTGTATGCAGATAGGCTCCTTGTATGAATACCACAGCATTGCCTTTAGCCTAGATCTTGGTAATAGCTCTTAGAACAGGATATAAGTACACTGGACTGGCGAATCCTAAAGTGAACGAAATGGGTGTCACGAATGCTACATCTAGCCATTACCATCGACTGACACATTACCAGGCAAACAGGTTAAGTTGGAAAAACTACAAAACAATTTTGGCAGTAAAAGAAGTCAACGGGTTTCTGTGCTTACTGGTACCATTGAAATCCTTCAAGATTGACCTTTAACCCTTATTTACAACGATCCAAACTACTAACGTATCATTTTTATAACCTTTATGTGCTTAGTTACCGAATATTTATATTGTTTTATCTCCCAAATAATTCAAAGCACCAGAATAAGTATCGGTGTAATGCGTTTAGACAGTGATAGGTTGGTCTTTACTTAAAGTACCCTTCAAACTGTTGTTTTGTTTTGAGCTGTGAGGAATTTGCCGGCAACGTCTATTTACTGCCTATTCAAATGCAGACAGACTTGTCTTTCAAAGTGTAATATCACTAAATTTCAAACAAGAGCTCTAGAACAGACATAAGTCTTCCGACGGCAAGTATTAGTACCATGATATTTCTAAACCTCGGTCAGTTACTGTTATATGATCATTATTGATGTACGACAGTAAGTTTTTATCATCTGAAGCAGACTGCACAACCTACGATTACATTCTTCTTCAGCATAATTAGCAAAAATCTGCTGAAGGATGATTTGAAGCCTTGAAACACTTGACAAGTGTTTCATACCTTTTTGAGACTCTTTAACTAGTGAAATCTTGAAGAGATTAACCCTGAGACTTTCAGTCCCCAACTGAAGGTAATCTTGTCACAGAATCTATTGTTCCTTGACACTGTCACGGGTCAAATCAATGGTAAACATCGCTTAGGAAAATTAGACTACCAGTTAAATAGTTTTTCAGGTGGTACCCATTAAAAAAAATAATCTACCTATAAATATGATCATTCATATAAAAGACTAGATGAATAATTTCTCTAACAAAAACAGCTATATTCATAATTTAACAATTCAACAATCAATGTTTGAATATCACCAAATACACTTAACTTTGTTTTATTTTGTTTATAAAATGCAAATTATCTCCTGCTTTTACAAAATAAATAAAACAGAAAACGAAGGATAAATAATGATTTATAAACTTGACATTTTAGTAAAAAAAAAGGAAAAAAGAAAGAAATTTGTTTTCTGTCGAGGTAGGGAAAGAGATTTCAATATGGTTTTCAATGTTCAATTGCCATTCATTTTTTTGTTTATTCATCTGTTTGTTTGTATGAATGTGTATGCATATGTATGTATGTATTTGTAAGTAAATTTTAGTGCAAGTCAAAATCTTGCATACAACGAATAGTATAGTATTTTAATGTCAAAGAACACGCACTGCCTGTCTGAAAAAGGAAAATATATTAACCAGTCATTTATCAAATTATTCCTGTTAAGTAATATTCGTTTAATAATCAGTCAATGCTGGTAGGATTAAACGTTTGCAATACATATATATATATATATATATATATATATATATATATATATATAAAGTTGGAAATATGGAGCATTGGATTCTGACCCAGTAGCTCAATGGTAACGCGCTGGCTGCGGAGCCTGAAGGTCACCGGTTCGATCCCTGCTGGTGTGGGGTCGTGGGTGCGCACTGCTGAGGAGTCCCATACTAGGACGAAACAGCTGTCCAGTGCTCCCAGGTTTCCTTTGTTCCTCCAACTGATGTCAGTCTACGATGAATAACAACTTGAAATATATATATATATATATATATATATATATATATGTAGGCTAGGAAGTATAACTCACATCAGTGATTGAAGGACAATGGTCGTACATATCTAGCAAGTCCGTAAATCATGGCAAGTGTAGAGCTTTCAACTTTATTCAGTTTCATCAGCCGCTGATGTTCAGGTTTTAAACGCGATAAGAGTTCATTTCGAAAACAATGAATAAGTTACGATAAATTAGTTGAAAGATGCATTCCTATATGAAAAAAACAATGGCAAATTGTTTATGAAGTCCAGTCAGATACGTTTAATGGTGTTAGATGTTAACTGTCAACCTGTTAAAAGCCCCATCTGACCTTAGGCTTGTACCACTCGTCAATAAGGCAGGTCAGCAACTATGAGGAAGGTGATGTTACCTTAGGGATTCAAAACTACGTCACTCAGTGGTGAACCACAGACTTGAATTCATCACCATAAAGTAACCGATGTAGTTACCTTGTCCCTAGTACTCAGCCCATGTCAAGCCTCAACAGGTCACACACACTCCAAACAAACAACTTCACTATGATTACTTGACAAGTTTTGAAGCTCATTTATTTACAAGTGATAATTTGGACACTGTTTTAAATCACCTCCACAGTGTATTGGAGTGACTTTAAGAGTGAATTTAAAGACCACCTAGCAACCGATCAAACAACTAATCACGTTTCTCTATTCTAAGAAAAATTGTCTACCCAGACAAAATACCGTAACCTGATTAGTTATTTTGGTAGTTGTTAGGGTGGCCTTTGGAGTCACTCGTGTATTGCTGCGTTATCCAACCATTACACTGCTCATCAGAGTGTACTATTGACTCAACGGAGGATCAGATTGAGAACCTATTTAACTGATGCAATCGACCCACTACCCTTCAGATACTGAGCCACAACTTAAAGATATATATTTTCAAGCTTTAGTAATTTACCTAGGCAGATATCTGCAAACTTTTCAGTTCTTCAGAAATCACAATCAAATAAATACCTAGAATTCAATTTGGGGGTTAGTGAGGACTTAGTGATTTTTCAAGTTGGTATTCGTAATGAACTGACATCATTTAGAGAAACATTGGAAAACTAGCAGCAATGGACATCTGTTTCGTCCTAATTGTATGGGACTCCTTAGCAGTGCGCACCCATTACCCCACCCCATCAGGTATCGGACCTAGGACCTTCAGGTTCCGTGGCCAGCACGTTACCACTGAGCCACTGGGTCGGAATCCAATAGTCCATATTTCCAACTTCTATCAACTCACGTTATAGCACCACCATCACCTAATGTCATCGTTGAGTGTTTGTCCTCACGGCCACCAGGTTTGTCCCACCGATCGCGACTTCTCATTGGAACTTCAGGAACCACCCTCTTGGAGCTAGTCACCAGCATTCCTCCAACTTATGTCAGTCCATGATGAATACCAACCTAGAATCCAACTATGCAAATTAGTAATTATCTACCATACTTTAGTGTTGACAATGCTTTTTTTCTGTTTCCACTTACTTTAGACTGGAGAAACCAATCTCTCAGATATCTATGAAACACCCTATGCTTCTGTGACATTACACGATGAACCAATAAATGAACAATATACAGTTGACAATAGTCTATCAACTAATCCAACAACTTCAATGACTGGACTATCAATACCATCTATGAATAGGACAGGTGGAGAGTTCAACAATCTACAGTCAAAAACTAATAGTTGGTCATCAGCTAGAAATAATTCATCGGTTTTACCCAATCCACAGTATCCTCCATCGGTTATGAATCTCATTGACATACCCAACTCCCAAATGACACAATTCAGTCAATCGAAACCAATTGATCCGTACTTATATTCTATTGGCTATTTGGATTATATCACAAATAATCCTCTAATCTATCCTCGTCCAGTGTACACTTCAGCAATGTGTCATTCTAAACAATATCAGAATACTACACCACCTTCGTCAAGTCTACCTCCTTCTGGACAAATTTATCCAATGGAAAACTGGAATATGATGGAATGGGTGGTTAAAAAGCGTCCAGATGGTACACGTTATATAACTCGTCGACCAATAAGGTGAGTAGTTGCTGATGAATACTTACTCATACTCTACTCAGTAGTGCAGGCTATCAGGGGGAGATAAACAAGCAACAACTAAAAACCAACAACGCATTATTTTCATCATACCTTTCAATAGTGTTAAACAATGAAAATAACTTTAAATTAAATTTTCCATGCTCGGTGTAAGACAGCCCATCTATGAATTTGTCCTATGTGGAATTCTCGATGCTGCTAGGATATTCACGATATTGTAGTCTGCCTGGTGACTAGCGGTGGAATCCAGGTAGACGCGCATTACGTCCTGTTTGGGACTCGCTCGTCATCTGGATGTATCTGCACCCCAGTGAGTAATGTTGTTCCCACCGAGACTCGGACCCAATATCCACTGTTATCCGTTAGCGCACGATGGCCACCTATTGTGCAACGCGTATCAGTTGTTGTTTATTGATACTTGTAATTACCCGTTGCCTTACTCAGACGAATTGCTCGACTTCTGATATCTGTTGCACAACTGGTGGCTTTCATGTCCCAGTACCTTTGTGGATAATGCTTTGGTGACGGAAACGATGAGTACTGGGTGTGAGTCTTAGTGGAAACAAAATCACTCATTGTTGTGCAGGTACATTTAGCTGTTAGGTACTAAGTAGGACGAGATGAACGTCCTGGATTCCACTCGTCGTCACAAAGTAGACTACAATACCTGCACCTTGTAGAAAAGCATGACTTAATATAAAGATTTAATCTAGGGTTTTCGCTTCTGAAAGTTGCCATTCATATAGACTGACTGACATTCTCATTTTCCTAATCAAATGGACATGGAATATAGATGGTTTCGCATAATCTATACACACTGAACATGCACAAAATATATTTACTTATAGTAATAAATCTTTAGACAACGAAGATCCTACTGTAGAGTTAATTGAAGCAATTCCCACACTTATTTCTTCCATACAACCAAAACTTTCAGTAGTGAGAAAGACGATGGTGTCAGTTTGAGATCAGAAAGGAGATAAGAGGCTTTAAAAAAATGAATTGTTGGAGTCATCTAAGCGAAGTTATTTGATGCTAGTGTTATTCTAATACAGGTATTTATAATTGCCACTGTCCAGATAGTTACTAATGGAATTTCAATGAAAATTAATGAGCATCCTAATGTACATGAACCGGCTACCAGTGGTTAACCAATATAGTTGTTTATTCCCAGGTTTCTTGCTTACTAGCACTAACCAGTAAATTGTACCTTTAGCTACAAGGTAATTGGTGTTCTCCTGGTAATTCAAACCTGTATAGCATTCAATGTTGAAGTCAAAGACTTTTCTATTAAGTTGTTTTGGTGTCAAATGACTCTCTGTAGACCTGGATTAAGTCCAAGATTAGGTTACTAGTGGATAACCAATACAACAAACTAATGACAATAATGATGATCTGCAGTTTTAACAACAAGGTAATACAAGAAACCAACTTGGGTTCCTAGACGATTGTCATAAGGATGGCTGACTGGATATGAGTCAATAAGATTTGTTTCTTAAACCCTACTACTACTAATTAAAACAGAATCTTAAGTCTCATTAGATTACATATTTCTTAATTTCATAACTATGTTACTTGACTGTCATTCATCATTCCATATGGAAAAATTAATGCAAGTGAAAGTAACAGCTGATAATCATCTTATCCTATTTTTTAATTCACCAATACTAAGTCCCAATGTTTCGTGATGTCAGATGTCACTGGCTTATTTATTAGTAAGTTTTTCCGACCTAACCAGTGTTGATCTAATACTAACACTTAGGTCGAAAGCAAAATGATGCCCACCAGAGACTTATTTTGAGGAAAGAATTTTGAGAGGTCATAGTAATTAGTTAAGATGTGTAAAACCAACTGTGTTTGCAGTGGGGAAAGGTGCTTACTAGCGTAATCCTAAACAAAAGTCCAGCAGTATTGTAAATTAACCAAAATAGCGCACTCAACCTAACAGCTACAAGGTGTAGATTACTTGTGAAAGCGGCTATGAATAATAACTTCTCAAGAATCCCTCATCGAAGCAATGCAACTATTTATAATAATGATGTATAAATGGCATTTTGTCCTACTTAGGACTCATCAGCTGGCTGTAGCTGCCTCTCAGTGAGTGATGTTGTTCCCACTAAAACTCGAACTCGAGACCGATCACTTCAAACTCCAGTGTTATCCACTAGACCATAGGGTTACAATGGCCACCTTTTGTGTATCTGAAACAATGAGTCTCGGTTTCGAATCCAGGTGGTAACATAATTCACTGGGAGATAGATATATCCAGCTGATAAGTCTCAAATGGGACAAAATGTGCGTCCTGGATTCTACTGCTAGCAAGTATCCATCATTAACATAACAATGAAATGACAGGCTTTATTGAGTCGTCCGCACAGGAGCCTGTACACCAATAAAGACAGGTTGATTCAATCAAATCAAAGATGGGATGATACAAGCAACATCATAAAACTATCTATCATTCCTAGGTTTCTGATCATGATTCATCAGAAGAAGTATCTTTTTTTGTTGTAACAAGCGCATGTGGAACTATTATCGGAACAACGACTGATTTCCCACCATCTGATGGTAACTTATGTCTATTAAGCATGTAAATATGTTGATGCACCTACTAAACGGTAATAAATAACATAATCATCTCTTTTAAGACTGTCAAAATGAACTCAACCAGTTGCATGGTTTATTCATTATTATTATTATTTGTCCCTTGGGTTTCTAATGGAACATAGGGCTTCACTAGCACGTCTCCAATGCGCTCTGTTCTCTGAAATCTTTTGAACCTGGCTCCACGACACCACACAAGCTCTCATGCACTCCTCGCACGATCTCCTCCATGTCACCATCTCTTCGGAGGCCCAACTCGTCTCTTCCCATCTGGGTTCCACTCGAGTGCCTGATCTAGCCTGGCGCGTGATGTCCTCAGTCGGCCTTCTCAGTGTATGCCGATTCAATCCATCTCCACTTCCTTCCAGTGCATATTAGTTGAGCGATAGCTTCTTGCTTCGTTGGTTCGTTGCCCGGCCAGAGTTCCTTGCTGCTTATTCTTTCTGGCCATGTGATCTTCAGTAGCGAGCGTAATCAGTTGTTGATGAATATCTGTAGTTTATTGGAAATCCCTTTCGTAACGCGCCAAGTCTCTCAACCATACAGGAGCACTGACTTGATGTTGGTGTTGAAAATCTGGATTCTGTTCCATATGCTGAGTGCAGAAGATCTCCATACTGGTTTTAGGATAATGAACGCCTGTCTTGCTTTTCCGATCCTGACTTTGACATCCTCGTCTGTGCTGCCTGTAGTTGATGTTAAGCGGGTGTAAATGACTTGTAGAAGGCCTTGTCCTATCCAATTTTTTCTACTTCCACTATTTTAATCATACACCACTTGAAACTTCAACTTGATTACTTCCTCACTTAAATCGGCGTCGAAATATTCCAATTTGCTTCACAATCCAGTCGATGAGTCTCAATCAAAACAATTTATGATTCGTAGTGCAGTGAGTGTTGTACAGAACCATCAATAATGTGATCACATTGGTAGTAACATTTTGATTGGAACATTGAATAGTAAGACTTTAAACTTCATGTAGAACAATGAATCTTCATACAGGTTGAAGAGATACACTTTGTTGGTAAGCCTAAACAATCATGAAAATCAGGTTTACTTGCCTTCTATGTCAACTATTTGAGGATACTGAATGCTAATATTGTATAGAAATGTTAAAATAAGGATATAAAGATAAATCCCTACAACATAATTGTTACCACCAGGTGGTAGACTGTAGTAACAATACAGAAGTCCTAGTGAATATATTCACTGTATAAATGTTGATCAGTAATTAATTAGCTAATTACTATAGGATGACTCCATACCTATCCTTCACCCCACTTGATTTAAACATGAATTCGTTGATTTATTATTACTGGCAATTAACCAAACTGGCTGGTTAATTAGTCAATTACCTACTTTATATTAACAAATCTCTGGCATTGAATGAACTTAAATATAATGGTTAGTCATGATTGTAAATTATGTTTATTGTATGTATACGTGTATAATTCAATTAACTAACCCTACTGGCTAACTAACGTCTGTCTTTCTATACACTAATCTATTCTAACTATTTAACTGCTAATTATGTTCAGTAATGATGAAGTCGATTTTAAAGCCATTATTATTGTTGTTACCATAATAGTAATTATTCAGCAACACATATTGTTATTTACTGTTAAAGCATTCATGCAGTAATTAGACACATACACATACAAAAGTATAATATCATCGGTTCACATTGACACCGAAAGTTCTATTGATTTCAGATTTCTACAGACTTCAATTAGAATACGACGTAAGTATTATTTTCCTTCTTTTAGTGTTAAATATCAGCGAGAAGTGAAGGCGAATAAGAAAATCTTTGACGATGATCATCTTCATGAGGTACCCTTCAGTGTACAGTATATAATCAATTCTACTCTCTTCTTTATCGTACTAACACATAATTTCATGTTTCCAGAAGAGTCTAAGTGGATAAATGAGAGTTACTTAGGGGAACTATCAACAGTGTTGCTGGTGTTTAGGCTAGGTGTTTATCAATAACCAATTTTCGCCCATCTTAAATATGCTTCTGTTGCTGAAAATTATACGATGCTAGAAAGAAGTTTCTCTCAGTGAGTAAATTCTTGATAACTAGTACCTGAGTAAATAGGGTTTCAATATTTATCAATTACACAGAAGCACAATGGTTGAAGCTGCAATATTTTACAATAGTATCCCGACAGGAAAGTAACTGTAAGAGAAAAATCTTTCGATAAAGAAAAAAAGAGTAGAAAATGGAGTAAATATATATCACATAGATGGTACAGGTACCTATCCACTATATATATATAATGTTTACGTCCAGCAGACTGCACTTCTCTCATATCAATGACTCCATGAATTAGTTCTGTGTCTTGACTTGATCATCCCTGACTCTCACTCTAATCCAA